AGGATTACAGGCTGAGCCACCGAGCCCGGCTCGCAAGCATATCTTAAAGGCCACCAGAATTCCCTGGAAGGCTTTTCAAATATTCACATTCCTGGACCCTGCCCAAGGGCTTCTTTTAAAAAAAATTTTTTTTTTTTGAGGCGGGATCTCTCTGTTACTCAGGCTAGAGTACAGTGGCATGATCATGGCTCACTACAGCCTTGACATTCTTGACTCAGGTGATCCTTCCACCTCAGCCTCCTGAGTAGCTGGGGCTACAGGCATGTACCACCATGCCTGACTAATTTTTGTATTTTTTGTGAAGACAAGATTTCTCTATGTTGCCCAGGCTGGTCTCAGACTCCTGGGCTCAAGAGATTCTCCCACCTTGGCCTCCCAAAGTGCTGAGATATCAGGTGAGAGTCACTGTGCCTGGCTAGGATTCTAATAATCATCCTGGTTGGGTTCCTAGGTTGAGTCCAACAGAAATCTTTAAAATGATGTATGGCGAAACTACTGGAAATTTCATTAATAACTTTCAAATGATAGCTGGAGACAGCTGTTTGTTTTCTGTTTAAGATGGTTAGGATGATGCCGGGTACGGTGGCTCATGCCTGTAATCCTATCACTTTGGGAGGAGGAGGCGAGAGGATTGCCTGAGCCTGCGGGTTTGAGACCAGCCAGGGCAGCATGGTGAGACCTCGACTCTACAATAAAAAAAAAAAAAATTAGTCAGGTGGGGTGGCACATGCCTGTGGTTCCAGCTCCTTGGAAGACTGAGGTGGAAAGATCGCCTGAGCCCAGCAGGTTGAGGCTGCAGTGGCCATGAGCATGCTACTGCACTCCCGCCTGGGCAACAGAGTAAGACTCCGACTCAAAAAAAAAGAAGCCTCCTATGTGGTGGGTGAGGAGTACATATTTTACTTTATCTAGTTGATGCTAAGTTGGAAGTGGGGACCAAAAATAGGGAAGCTGTCAGTTATTAATCAATCAAGTCCTGGCCATTTGGTACCAATTGTTACAGAAGTTGCTGGTTGGCTTCCTGGATTGTCACTGGAGCCAGCATCTGGCTTTCTGCAAGATTACTTTATAGCAGACTGGCTTCCTGGATTGACTTTCGTAGATGAGGGGTTGGTTTCTTGGCCACGGTGCTGCAGGTTGTGGGTCAGAGTTCTATTTTTTTTTTTTTGAGTTGGAGTCTCACTCTGTCACCCAGACTGGAGTGCAGTGGCCGCTCCCGGCCACCGCAGCCTCGACCTGCTGGGCTCCGGCGATCCTTCCGCCTCAGCCTTCCAAGTAGCCGGAATTACAGGCATGCACTACCATGCCCGGCTGATTTTTTGATTTATTGTAGAGATGAGGTCTCGCTGCCCAGGCGGGTCTCGAACCGGCGGGCTCAAGCAATCCACTCACCTCAGCCTCCCAAAGGCGCGGGATTACAGGCTGAACCACTGAGCCCGGCTAGAGTTCTATTTTTATTAACCTTTATTATGGTCAGGTCCTTGCCCGTTTGCATATTCAGTCTCTCTGTCTTACTCCCTTTCTCCCTCTCTTTTTCTCTTGGCTATCATTCGAGCTTTTGATTCTGCCAATGGGTCACTGTTGACAACAGAAAAAACCCTTCATCATTTGAAGTCTTCCTCTGTGGCCTGTGTGGGCACATTAGGTAGAGTCTGCATGGCACTTGGAGAGCCACAAGGCTTTTTCCAGCATCTGTTCCCATTCAACCTTCCTCTTTGTTCCCTAGTCATCTCTAGGTGCATAACCTTGCTCCGGGGGCTGCCAGCGAAGTCTGTGTTGGTGGAAGCAAGTTAAGGTTCAAGGTTTGGCAGGAAGTTCTGAGAGAGGGAGCATTCTTAATTTATATGGCTAGTGATTTCTGCTGTTTTAATGTTAGTCACTTTTTTTTTTTAGGAAAATAGGGGAGAAGTAGTTTGTTCTGGGAAATTTTATTTCTTTCAAACTGGCACATTTCTTAATATCTGAGCATTATAATCACTAAGGCCAAAAATAGCCTCTGAATGTTTGTTCTTACATCCTGAACCTAAAGAGGTCCACCCCTCTGGGTTGGCCTTAGGGAGTGCTGGGTCTTCTGGAACCTTCTGGAAGCCCCAGGAGACAGCAGGGTAGAAGTCTGTGGCCCACTGTCAGTATGCCCAACAGAAGTGAGATAGGAGAAAAATACTCCCTGGATGGCTCGTTTTCCACGGAATTAACCTCTGTTAAATATTTCCATTTCTAGGTCTGTGGTCAGGGATCATCACCGGCACAGTCTCTCAAACTGTGTGCTTTCTAGGCTTTATTGCTCGGCTAAATTGGAAAAAAGCCTACCAACAGGTAACTGTCCTCATTGCTGTCCCAGTAAAATCTCCTCTCCTGGAAAACAAACAGGATCTGATTTGACTATCTTTTGTTTTGGAAGGTTCGTTATTTATTTATTTATTTATTTTTTTGAGTTGGAGTCTCACTCTGTTGCCCAGACTGGA